AAAAAAAAAGAAAAAAAAACAGTAATAAAGAGCGGTCTGACTGGGTGTTTCTCTGTCTTTCAGGTCAAATTACCCATCAAATGCCATGAAACGTTGTAAAGCAGAGCAAGTGCCTGAAACAGGTGAGGTGCTTTCTCTTCTACTGTGCTTAGTATTCTCCTGGGGAACCAGGGTCAGGTGAAATCATGACCAAAGGACATGATTTCTTTCCAAAGTCTGGGGTTTCCTTGGCATAGCAATGGGCAGGTATTCTGGACCTCGTACAGGTCAACCTTCGATACCCAATGGGATTTGCTTGACGGGGACCACCTGTTTTCCCTGCTCTCTCCACAGGTGTAGAATCAGACAGGATGCACAGAGTTCCGGATTCTGATTCTCAGCTGCCGCTGGAACCTCCCCAGGTGAGTCTTCATGTCCTGGGAAGATATGAGACATGGCTGCCTATTTTCTAGATGACAAGAGTTGTCCAAGAGAAGAGCCGTGGAATGGGTGCTGGGTGCAGTGCAACGTGTGGGGGACCAGGCTTAGTTGGAGATGGGATCTGTGACGTGACCTGTAGCGAGCCCCATTGCCATTGGAGAGTCTCGTTGTGGCTAACGAGCCCTGCTTTCTCTTCGCCAGGTTGGGCAGAACTCAGGAGCCCAGATGATTGTGGTGGTCCTTGGAAGCAGCTATGGTACTGCAGCTGCGCCTGGGGGCTGAAGTCCTCGTCCTGGCCCCGCAGAGGGCGCTGCAGCTCACGCTGAATGACGTCATCGTCGTGGTTGTCACGGAGCACATTCTCAGGTCATCGCGGGGCCTCAGCTTTCCCGCCCAGGCCCGCTGGCTGCTGCTCAATGATCCCGAGACGACCTGGGAGATTGATCTTGAGGACGGATCTTTGACAGTCCAAGGTTCAGAGAAGGCGTCCGGGTCACCCGTGGATGAGGAACGAGAGGCTCTCCAAGTCCGCCAGGGACCCCAAGCTCAGCAGAAGAGCGAGTTTGGTCTGGCGACGGCAAATATCCTCCTGCTCCAAGCTCGACCCAGAGACGCTAGCCACAGAGGCATTCCCCAGCTGTGCAGGCCTAGCCCCAGGTCTCGCCCTCTGCCTGCAGAGTTCAGCTTGGATCTCCACGGCCTGCAGCCCCTGCCAGGCTCTGCCCTCAGACCTCTGCCTCCCTCCCACAGCCCGGGACCCAGAACACGCCACAGATTTCGGGCCCGTCCTCCAAGCAAAGCGCGAAGGCGGCTCTTCTAATCCTGAAACCCCAGCGCTGGAATTTCCCAGTTCAAGTCGACATGGTTCCAGTCAGTGAAAGGAACACCCACTCCAGATGTGCTCTCTCCCTAGAACACTCCTCACTGCTCTTTGAGGACTCATCTGCTGCAGAAACTATGCGAGGGGAGAAACACTGAGGTCTCTCATCCATAAGGTTCCTAGACCGCAGGCCGATGAGAGAATGCAATGAAATCCTCAGTACAGGGAGGGTGCATTGGCAATATTCACTGACCTCAGGGAAGTCAGGGCCAGCTTGGAGGCACGGGTCTTATAGATTCCATGGAAAACCAAAGCAGACGGCCCTGTGTAGGTGCACCAGGTGACAGTGTTGAACAGAAGGCTTCCTGACTGGGAGCCTTAGACTATGTAGATATTTCCTTGTAGTGTCTGCACCAAAGAATATGCTAAGCCATATGCCCTGAGGCATGCCACGGTGCCATGAGAATGGCTCTCATGAAAATGTCTGCGCACATCCAAAGTTTCAGAAACCGTGGGGCAGCTGGAAATCTCACGCATGGCTGTGGGCATGCAACATGGTCAAGCACGTCCGAGAAGCCATCTCCTACACGCTCGATGGGAAACGCACACGTCCCAAAGAACCCCACTGTCCATTAGGAGAGAGACAGCTATCTAGACAAATCGAAATCAGGCGGACAAAAACACTGATGGCAATGAGGTCCACAGCAGCTCTCTTCATATTCCGACGAGGGTTCAGGACAACCAGTATCCTGGAGGAATAACACATGAAGCCATGTGACTCAACGCAACCAGCGATGCAACTCTGCACCGTGTGGGACTGGAATGAGAGGTTTAAAAGTTACGTCTATGTCCCGAAGGGACATTGAGTTCTTGGAACACTTGAATCTATGTTCCCATCATGAAAATGTATGTCCTGTATGTAGGGAGGAGAACTCTTAGAAAGTGGCCATGGAAGCCACGTACCTGTCATGAAGATGATCTTTCAGATAGACCTCCCTCGTAACTTTGGGACGTTCACTGGACTGGGAATCTAACAATAAGGGTAGGGCCAGAAAGTCATCTGTCCGTCATTGCAACATGGATTGTAGTCCTAAAGATAAGATGTATATTACCAGGGTGAAATAAAAATGCTAAAAAAACTAAGTGTCATCTCTTTGCATTTACCTTCTTGAGTGTGTAGGCTCAAATAGACACTTGCTTAAGAATGCTGTTCTGTTTCTCTTCACCACTGATGCACAGTCACTCATGGCCACATCCTCTTGGAGTGGTCTCTCCCAGGGAAAGGAATCTCTCCTTTCCTACAAGAGGCAGTGACTCAACCCCGGCTCTCAATCCCCTTTCCCCCAATGGCACAAACACCTGCAATCCCATGGTCATCACTGTGTACGCTAATGTGTTTACTGACTGACCTAGGCCATTGTGGTCCCACAATGGACCTCAACATTTATAGATATTTGCTTCATTTCATCAGCTCCAAGAGTCTTCCCTGGTTTCCTTTCAGGCAGGAAATAGGAGCTGTTGAGTTTGTGGAAATTCAAAAAAAGAGATACCTGGATTCCATCATTATGTCTTATCCGTGTCCGTCTGTCCTTCTGCAGAGTCGTTTCTGACACATGAGAGATGGACCTCCTTTTCCCAGGAGATTCATGTTCACCCTCAGCTTATTGTCTCTATGCAGAAGTACAGAACGCCCACGGGAAGAAATAGACATTTTTAGACTGGATGAAGTGCGTTGAAAAGAAAGAGAGTGCTGAGGTCCATGGATGGCCTCAGAGGAGATGTCTCCATACTGTCCCAAGGATGACCATGGTTTGAGCCCTGCAATGAGAGGCTTGAAAATTCATCTGGGCAGGTATCTGAGTGTACCCAGA